CCCTCTGGAGCCCAAACGAAGCAACTTTGTACTAAGGTAATTTTACTTAAATCGACTTATTTTGGTCTAAGGAATATGTGGTATGTTTTTGTAAAGACCTTAAGAAGTTTATTAGATTTCTCCTAGAAAAGAATATCACCCTATTTTAAAATTTTTATGTTTTTGATAAAACATAAAATACAACTTTTTGTCTTTCAGTTTTTTGTATACCGTCTTTCGTTTTGAGTTGTATTTTTAGTTGCTTCAGAGACGTGCATGCAAAAATTTAAATATTATTTGTTTTCTCGAAAACGAAAAGAGATTCGCAAAAATATAAAGAGACAATAAAGTTGTATTTTTAGTTGCTTTATTCAAAACAAGTTTCAACATTGTAAATATTTAGTGGACACTATAACTTTTGGTTAAAATTCCCTGTATTTCGGACCTGTGTTTATGAAACTATTAAAATATTTATTTTGGTGCTCCCTACCACGCTTCGGTTTAGTTTATTTTGAATTATTAAGATTGAGCCGTGCATAGGGATCGTACTTCCACATATTTTTTATCTCCCTTTGCATCAACCTACCCTTACCTCAAAAATTTCAGTGGTACCCTGTATATATTATAAAGAACTATGAAAGAGCAAACTTTTTTAAGTACATCCATATTAGAAAAGTAACAAATTACAAAGAATATTTTAATTAATATTTTGATAAAATATCTTATTTGCTATGAAAAATCAAGGTGCCTATGTATGAAAAGAATGTGAAATTTATTGCCTCGATGCACGGTCTCTCCCCCAAACATTCAAGATTCCAACTTAAATTTGGTAATTGAAACATGAACGGCGGATATTACCATTGAAATTTTACAAAAAAACTTGTAGCTGCTTTGAGACACACTGCATATAACTATTTTGGGTCCGCTGACACTTAAAAAATTGTTTCTTACCTTAAAATCATCAAAATGTATTGGTCAGTTTCGACTATAAAATAGTATATTGTTTCACGAGTGACGAAAAATGATTTTCGACGAGTAAAACACTATACTTTTTCTACGAACTCTATTATGTCATGTAGGTACCTACTAAAATGAAAAAAAAGCAAACGTTAACAAATGCTTTATTTTGTGTTAGGAATAACAAAAAATTAACCAACAATTAAATATTTCAGAAATATTATTTATTATTTAAATATTGATTTATTGTTATATTTGAACAATTGTACAAAATTATGGGAGTATCACACTCAAGCTTTTTATTTATTGAGGTAGATACCGACATATTTGTTCTACTGTTAAATGTCATTTCAGATGATGATGCGCCATAATCGGATGAACTAGTAGTTTCCTTATTTTGTACAGATTGTAAAATTTTGGTTGGTATTTGGTTTTTACTGTTCGTGGATTCATCAACATATCCTTCCGCAACACTACTAGATTTCCAACCACCGTGCTTTTTTAACAGAAGCAAGTACCTCCTGCATCCACTAATAGCGTTGCGGATGTTCTGCGGAAACAGTGCCCAGTGTAATCTTGAGGATTCGGAAGCGTTAAAAAATGAGCAATTTCGTTAGGAAATTTACTGATTTTATTAATTCCAACAACCTGTCTGCTACACTTTCCATTCTGATAGTTAATAAAGAATCTTGAATTAATTTGATCCATGTTTGTGGGACGTAGGCTCATATATTTTTTAGAAATATCATAAAAGGGTCCAGAAATATGAAAAGAACGCGGAACTTTTGTTTTTGTATTACGGATTTTAACTAACAGAATACTTCCAGTATCCTTTACATCGCTCTTATTGTTAAATCTTTCAGTATTTGTTAAAATAAAAATAATAATTCCGTTACCTTTGTTATTAAATATTTATAGTCAGGTGCAGTCTTTAGGAAAGTCTTTATGTCTTCAGGCGAAAAAATTTTTGGATTTTTGGCTTTTAAAACCATCAGATTTTCTTTTCAAAAGCGAACGTAACTTTGGAAATATCGACATCATTTTTAACAGAGAGTGTAGCATCGAATAAATGGACCATAACGTCGACGGTTTAAAATTTGAACATATTTCTCCAAAGTATGCTAGTAGTACAGTTTCCGAAAATGCTTTCACTTTATTTTTTTCTCTCCAGTTCAAAAATTTGATATAAATCCTTCATATCTCTTTTTTGATTTGGCCGGTAATAAATCTGAAGAGGTTTCTTCAGCTTTAAAAATAATTTCTGGGGGGGTACAATCGCTTTCTGACTCAGACATCATAAAAATGTGTTAAATTTAGGACGAACTGAAACTGACAGTTTAGTTTAGGTAAAAACGCATATAGAATTTAATGAGCATCTTTTTATTTCATTATTAATAATTATAAGCTGCCAAAATATTATACGAGGCGACTGATATATGAAAATATGTAACAACTTACTTTCGTCACTAGAGACGAAAGTAAACGTTATGGGATTTTTTCTCACTAGTGACGGAAATCAAGTTTTCGCTGAAAGTATCCTGTGGCGAAAGATGTCTTTTTGTAAGAGTTCGTAGAAAAAAATATTAATTAAATAATTTCAGTTGATTTCTTGTTGTATTGTTGTAAAAACAGCTAAATAACAATATTATAATATCCATATATCAATAAACCATATAAAAAAATTTCATATTCGTTTAAAATTCTTTACTTGGTTTTTAAAATTCTGAAATAAAAATAAAGATAATAATTTTTGTTTAAAAATTGACATTTCTATTTTTATAAATGCGGGGTTGCCAAACATAGTAAGAAAGTGTATATGACAGGAATAATGGTGGCTGTTTGACAATACTAGCAGCGTCTGGCTTGTAGGTGAACTTGACTCTGGAGGTGAAAACATATTTGTAGTAATCATTTCAATTTGAGCTTTGTCCAGGCCGTTAGAGTCTATGCCGGTCGGCGTAGCCAGGTATTGGTTAAAATTTTCTGGTGGCTGCGAAGCCACGTTCGTTAAAAGTCGAGAGCCAGGTTCACGGGGAGGCCAGACGCTAGTGTTTATTTTGAAAAGTTTATGCAATGGCTCCAGCTAGACCGTATGTGTCCTAGGTCTTACCGCGTAGGCGTACCTAGCCAGTGCGTGAGCAATCACTTAAATTTAAATGGCTCCAGGCCGCACAGGTTAGGTAAATTAGTTATGATTTTTTTTTTATTTAATGTACTTATAATTTTTTTGCACAGCAACCTGTGATGGCTCCAGGCCCCACTGATTTTATCTGAAAAGAAAAATGGCTACAGGTGCTGTTTTATACAATTTTTCAGATATCGAAAGTCGCATTTTTTTATTGTCCGAAGCAGGATGCAGGTTAAAATGACGATTGACGTTTAATGATGTTTGAATTGATCTGACAATACTGTACTTTTTAGATGTTCTTCAAATGACAGACGACAGTAGATAAAATGTCACTCCGATGTCACCAACTGTTTTAAAATTTTGAAAAACAAATGCAATAAAATTATAAGCGTTCACAAAAAAATCTTGCATGGTATATTGCTCTATGGATAGTCTTATATTGTTATTTAGCAGTTTTTACTATAAGAAATCAATCCAAGTTAAGTAATTGATGTGTTTTTAAGATCGTGATTCGATGACAAATTTGAAAGGTAAAAAGAAACTCACTTTTTAGCGTTTCCAGAGTGAAAATTTCATTTAAAAATTTGTTTTAGAGGGACTAAAATAGTCTAAAAAAAAAATTTGGCCCGTTCATGTTTTGGCATATTTTCCCCTTAATTTTACCAGAAATAAAGCCGTCTAAAATGTTCAGACTCAACTCAAAGTTTCGAACCCAAATCAAAAATACACATAACTAAAATAAATAAAACAAATCGCCCGTATATACTTACCTACCTATTTATAATAGTATATGCGAGGTCAGTACCACTAACAGATTCTTACGATAAGTATGTATCTCAAGTAGGTACCTGCGACCCTAATTAGACAGCTTAATATTTAATTTCCCATAAACGAGAAAAACCTTGCTATAGAATTGGAAAATTGCCTAAAAATATATATCTACAAATACGCGGTGGTGACAAATCTTTTCCACCATACCAACTTATTTACGAACATAAAATAAAAGTATGGCTGCGTATATTATTTTGCTAAATGACTTTTGCAATATAATGGACAAAATATGGAGGTTAAAGAGTGTAGCTACATCTACGTAGAAAAGGATTAACTAAAATTCAAATTTAAATCATGTTATCAAAAACCGGAAGTGCTGTGGCATCCTTAAGGTATCTTTTAATGGAGAATATTTCAGTAAAAAAAAATTAATTGTCCTTATTCTTCGAGGTATCTTTTAAGTTTTTTATGGCGGTTATCTTAGATTTTTATACAATATTTATTATAATCAGAGTCAGTCAAATATACGGACCAAAAAGTAAGATATACCAATGCATATATTATTTGTGTCAAATATGCATTTATTAACGGATTGAGATAAGAATAAAATTTATTTGAAAATAACGGATTAAGATAAGAATAAAATATTTTGGAAATATTAGTTATGAAGGATTTGAATAATGAATAAATTCGTTTTAAAAAGGTATTAACATCAACAGAAAATTTCTAAACTATGCAAATGCACTTTTGCATTTTTGTCAGACTCTGAACTAGACTCTAAACTACCTTTTAAATTGATTTTATAAATTTATTTTGATCAAAATTTTTCAAATTAATCGCGGCGTTGCTAAATTTATTTATGACCATAGGCCCAAAATGTATTATCTTATCGACTAGGAGAATACAAATTACCACGGGCAAAAATATACAATATTAAACTAATTTAATTTCGCACACCACATACTATTTTAGTTGGATGTGGTTTTGCCATTAATATTAAGTTTTTTTTTAATTTTGGGGTATTTTTTAAAAAATTTGGATAGCATGTAGCACATCATTATTTAAAAGGTAATTTAGAAGGAAATAAGTTAATTGCCAGGGAACACAAATTACTTCACAATAAATCTCAACTATCTCAATAAGTATACATGTATTTTAATTTTAGAGAAGGAAAACAATGCGACTTATTGGGAGATATAGTGAACGACTACACAACAACATGCAAACAAAAATATATTTACAGGCGACTTCTGTCTCTTGACAGCCATGGTAAGCCTGCTCAAGATACTTTCATGCTCCCTTCTGCTTGTTGTTGCACATACAGAAGAAATTATGATTTTTTGAGTGAATATTTAAAAAGGAAATAGAAGATGAATGATCAAAAATGGTAAGATTTATTTACAATATCGACATAAATGTACATTTAAATAATTCACTGTTTTATGTATTTTGCAGGAAAATATGTGGTATTGAAATAAAAAATACCCTTTAAACAAAAATATATCTAGAGAGCAAGTTAGACATGATGTAATCTTTATACCATGAGTTCAAAGTATGGAATAGATACCAACACGTTGTTGAAGCCGTTGCAGAAAATTATCATTCTTGGTAAGCAAAATCGTATCTAAAAATATTAGTTTCATAACATAATGATAAACTAAAGATGAAAACAAGCCAAATATTGGATTATATTTGAACAAGAATTATCTAGGAGTTATCTCAAACAAATTTGTTTTTCCAGAAATGTAATTTAATAACGAAAAATAAAACAGCTGAAGTGAAAATTCAATCGCATACCGCTCAACAATAGTAGCTTTACCAGTGAAGCTGGGCGTAACGAGTAGGCTCCATGTAGGCGCGTATTACGATCGTTGCCGAATTTTTCAGGTAAATTCATTATTATAAGTACAATTCGTAAAACTGGAAGCATAGTAGAGGTCAAAATAAGTAGATTGTACCCAATACGCGTGTGTAGGGAAAACGTCACAGGTTGAGGAAGGTCTATGAAGACTAGAGGAAGGATGCCAACAAACAATGAAGCGTCAACTGTCATTTAATGTCCATTTTATTAGCATTGGGCGATTTGAGTTATTGAAGCTGTTTTTTAAAGTGAAGTGTTTTAATTATTATAAACTAAATTAGGGCATGTTGACTGTAAGGTTATAAAGTTTATATATTATTCTATCGATTATACAATTTTTTTTTTTTTTTTTTTTTCAGGAAAATATTTTATTTGACCGTTATTTAAGGAAGCAACCCAATGTGTTCAAAGCGTAGATTTTGGAGTGTATGTAACACGTATTAATAGCATTAATTAGCATATTCAAAGCATACAGAGGGTAAGGTGATACCCTTTATAAGTTATTTTATGGATTTAATAATTTTTTTTAGGAAAATACATATTACTCTATCGATTTCATGATTTTTTTTTCTTTTTTCAGGAAATAATTTGTTTTAACATGGAAGCAAATCATGTTATCAAGTTTTTCTTTGTCGCAAATTATTTTGTGAATGATAGAAAACAATTGGAAAGGGGCGAAAATTCATATTCAAGTGGCCATGTCAAGAATATGCAGTTTGATGCTATGAGCCCAGCTCATTTGCAAGGTGGCGTACAGGCTAGCATGAAGAAACGAGTATATAAAGTTGAGGTAGAGATTAAGTAAAATTAGGTTTTATTGTGCATTACTTTAAATCATTTTATATTTTTAGATCTACATTGATTTGGCTGAGGGCATAACCAGTAGCACTTGCACTTGTCCCAGAGGCCAAACGATTTGCCACTATATGGCTGCATTGTTATATTATGCACATTATAACCTATGTTCAACTGATAAGGCCAGAGAATGGGGCCCTAAAGAACCTAAAAACACTTCGGATTATGCCTTAAGCATCGATGAACTGTATCCTCGAGAGCCCTCTTCACTACTATTCAGTACTAGCTGAAAATGCACTCATCAAAGGAGAAGAGTTTAGAGAAAAGTTAGGTGCTACCAACTACTGCTACATTGACACCATCCATAGAAGAAATTCTCTTTTCAGGAGAATATTTTGATGCCTTGGACAAAAATAAATTTTTATTAGAAAAATGTCGTCTAACTGAACAAAGCAGCATAAAAACGAAGCCTGGTTCATTTTAAGAAAAATGCGACTGACTGCCAGCAAATTTGGATTGGTAATCTCTGCAGTGAGGCGCAATAAATTTAAAAATTTATTGGAAGGATACGATTTGACACGAGTTTTGGCAGTTCAATGTGGGAAAGACCATGAAGAAACAGCCCTGGCAACATTTAAAGAGGTCACCCATATGGAAGTTGTTCCAACAGGTTTGTTATTTTAATATAAATATATATTATGAGATTGTTATACAGGGTGTTCCTTAATGATATGCGAATATTTAAAGGTGTGAATCTACGTGAAAAATTAATGATAGTTTGCTTTATAAACTATGGTCCAGAAATGTTCTGTAACGAAAATAGGAAATTCATTTAAATTTTTGTAACCGCTAAGATATTTCAGTGACAGTTAATAATAATGCATAATTTTCAACAAAAAAATAATTTTTAGCTTTAACAGTGGCATGCGAAAGAGCATTTAAATTGAAGAAAAAAATTGTACGCCAATGATTTTCTAAAATAAAAATTATTTTTGAATTTAGTTATTTTTTTACGTCGCTCTGTTTTTAAGTAAAAAAATAAAAACTGTTTGAGACAATTAATGTAATTATTGAAGAATGCAAAAAAATATTGGGTATTTGGTCCGTAGTTTATTATCATCAATTTTTCATGTAGATTTACACCCTTAAATATTTGCATATCATTAAGGAACACAGTGTATAATTTAACTGTCAAAAAATATTTTTGTTCTTGTTACTTTTAATATTTTGTGAACTGAATGATATTAAAGGTTCATAAAAATTAACATTTTTGTTTTGTTTCTAGGATTGTGGTTGGAAGAGACGGGAATTTTGAGTTCAAGTCCTGACTGTCTGATTGAACAGAATAGTATATTAGAGATAAAGTGTCTCTATAGATTTAGAAATATGTCTATTAGCGAAGGGGTGGTAGACAGAAAATATATTTTTTTATATAGATGATGATGGTGATATAATCCTTAAAATGGATCACGTTTGTTATCATCAAATCCAAAACCAGCTACACATAACAGGTCGCGATATATGCTATTTTTTTGTTTGGACACCAAAAGATTATAAACTGATTACAATCAAAAAAGATGCAGAATGGGAACCGAATTTAAATGTACTATGTATATTTTATGTTGATAAATTCGTATCGGCTTTTTATGATTTAAAATATTTTATTTTAACAGCTTCCTCAAAAAAGAAGTAAATTGACTGTATAACAAATGGCCCTTTTCAGGGCCACAAATTATTTATCGATTGAATTTTTTGCCATAGCCAAATATTTGATGTAGATATCACAAGGACACATTTTTTTTAAGTTATTAAATACGAATCGAGTAAGGTTCATCTAATAATAATACTGATGGAGTGGGTGGATCAGTGGTTAGAGTTTTCATATCAAAGTATCCCGGGTTCGAATCCCACCTGTAGTGGGAATTATTTAATTTACTATATTGTTAGAGTCAGCGAATTAGGATATCGCCGCCACTGGGGTCGACGGTACCACTTCTGCCCGTTAGAGTCAGCGAATTAGGATATCGCTGCCACTGGGATTGACGGTACCACGTCTGCCCGTTGCAGTGTCCAGGACCAGGAGAGAGCGGGGACTTGACTTTCGACCAGTCGAACGCGATGAAGTGATAGGCTTTATGCCCTTTAAAGACATTCTTTATTTTGTTCCTTAATTAATTACATTTCAAACATTGTTTACGAGATGTTTAATACAGCGTTATAAAACCATGTTAACACGTATTTTAACAATATATTAAATTATTATTACACAAATATTGTTCATTATTGAATACTATTATATAATAAAAAACTTGAAAAAATCGAATTTTTATTTATAATACATATAAATACAATATGATTCAAAACGATGCATTACATTAAGTTCAGCAAATAACCTATATAAAAGAATTGCACAAATTAAAATTTTGTTTAGGTATAATGAATCATTTTTTTGATAAATATACAGTAATATATACTAGGCGATTCTTACGGAATGGGTAATATACTTAGAGCATATAAGACTAGAGGTGTTACTCAAATGAGTTTGTTTTGTACTGAGGGGGGTAACCCCTTCGGTGTTAGGTATACGACGCATTATGATTGGCGAGTTAGGAACACGACGATTTATGATTGGCGAATTTAAATAACGCGCGTATTTGTGATAAGTGACATTTTATTTGACGTCTTGTTTTCGTTTTTAAAAAGATCATTTTTTGTGGCTTCCAAAGACAATTTGGACGAGGTGTCTCTTTGATAAACTTTTTAAGTGTATTTTTATTATAAAATAAGTGCTAATCATGCCAAAAGCTTGTTTAGTTTGCAATAATAAATTCTTAAAAGGATCCTGGTTGACGTTTCACAAGTAAGTATTCTATATTCCACTTAAAATGGGAAATGGGAAAATGAATAAGAAAACATGTTTGTAGAATATTCTTCTTTTGAGCATCACCGCAACTGGTTGTGTTCGACAGAAAATAGTTGTTTTCTTTGCGATAATGCTTAATTTATGTCTTTTTGTATAATGTAAAATGGATTAGATATATATTTGTATTATACATATTTATTCAACTGTCATTAATATTTTAAATAAACTTTCTTCTCTTGTTTAGTTTCCCTGGGCTTGGATGCATCTCCATAGCGGCTATAACTGCCTCCGTGGCGACGCTAATATTTTCCTAGTAAGCACTGGGAATGTTAGCCGAATCCACAAATGTGTGGTTGGCTCCTTGAGTGATCTCCTATTGATTTGATTTCATCGCTAGTTCCATATTTTTTTTTAACTTGCCTGCACCGTACTGATAAAGACCAATAGTCAGAAACACTTGTCTACGGTTTGCCTTTAGGCCTTATTTTCATTTTTTTGCGGATTTGCCCAATAATCCTTTTATCTTTTATATTTTTTTCACCGCACTAAACCTTCTTCTCTTGTTTAGTTTCCCTGGGCTTGGATACATCTCCATAGCGGCTATAACTGCCTCCGTGGCGACGCGACGCTAATATTTTCCTAGTAAGCACTGGGAATGTTAACCGAGTCCGCAAATGTGTGGTTGGCTCCTTGAGTGATATCCTGTTGATTTGATTTTATCGCTAGTTCCATTCTCTTCTGAACTGCACTGTACTGATGAAGACCAATAGTCAGAAACACGTGTCTACGGTTTGCCTTTAGGCCTTTTATATAGGTATTATTATTTTTTTTTCGCTGACACATAAAAA